GAGCCTAGGCTCTCTTCGGAAGAAGCCCTATTTTGATTTCAGGTTGCAAGGATAGGGAAGCATCCTGGATTTGAAACTGGAAAGAGGGATTTGACTCGGTAGTCCACTTTGTAGACCCTCCACTTTCCTCTCTCCCTTATCTTATTGTCAGGATCCAACTTAAGTCACAAACCATTAAAGTTAGAAAATTCAAGTTAATCAAAGGCAGAACTGAATCTTGCTATGTTTATGTTCCAAACATATAGCCTCTCCATAAATATTTGGACAGGGATCTCTTATGGAGTCTATAAATGAATGAAATGCCTCAGTTTGTTTTAGGGTTGCATCTTAAGTTGTATTCTTTCAACATGGTTCATGTTATTTTCGTATCAGACAAATAGAAAACCTGGACCAAATGAAAAACTCCATCTACATCTCAAAGAATCTCAAAGAACAGAGTGCATATGTAATTGTACTAGGACATGATTGTCCTTTCAAGGTTGTGGACAGATATGGGCCCAAGGCAAGGCTGGAGACAAAAGGCAAGGACCAGTCTCAAAACAAGGCAAAACCCATAAGGGATCAGAGCTCAGGACAGGACTGAGCATCCAAAGTTAGGCAAATGGAAGTGAAGACACCCCATTCAGTACCCAGTGTGAAAAGTGAGGGTTAAGGCCTAGGCCTTGGGACATGCTCAAATTTGGGAGCTTGAGGGGAGAAAAGAGGATATGGCCTGAGAGAAAGGATGAAAACCAGAACAGTGACATTGTAAGGAAAGTTTGGGAGAAGAAGCTTTTGAGGATGGAGGAGATCAGCAGATTCAGGTGCTGCAAAGAAGAAAGACAAATGAGACAAAACTATTGGGTTTGACACTTAGAAGTCATTGTTGACATTTAAAACCTTCCATGAAAGCAACTGGGCAATGTGTATCAAAAGTCAAAAAATATATATACTCTGTGCCCCAATAATTCCACCTTTGGGGATCTTACCAAAGGAAACAATCCATCGTAAACTTGGAAAAGTTATCTGTATAATGATGTTCATTCCAGAGTTATATAAAAGGGTGGAGAATGGAACGAGCCTAAATGTTCAACAAATAAAGCAATGCTGAACTAAGCTACAGTATTTTTATTTGATGATATATTAAGTAGTCATTTTTAATGTATCAAAAGTACACAAATAGTTGTCAACTTTTAAATGCCATTTCCAACTAAATGGAGTAAGATTGATTCCCTTAAAGAAATGACTACAGCAGGGAAAATACAAGTTGAGTGTGGAATATCTTGTGTGAGGAAACAAGTAACTACTAAAATATTGATAGGACCAAGTCAAAAGGACATCGAAGCCTCTTGACTCTATTGGCCAAATTGGGGCAATTTGAGCATCAAAAAATGGTGGTAATGGATTATATCACATGGAATTAAAAAAGCAATTTTTGAGCCCATAGGGTAAGAGAGAGGGGAAGAAGGAGGAGGAGGTGGAAGAAAGAGGTTGGGGAAGAGCAAGATGAGGAAGAGGATGGAGAAGAAGAAAGAAGAAAAGGAGGAGGAGAAGAAGGAGCTCTTCTATACAGAAGAGTAACAGATAATAAATGCAGAACAAATGGCAGAATTAGAGAGCCACCATTTTGCAATTTCCGGTGTAATATCAAATGTAAACATAGATCATCAATGGAAGCTAAAACAACTGGGTAAAACATTCTTGGGAGCAAATAGTCAAAGCTCTTAGGATATCACACCACAGCTTACTTTAAATTGTAAAGTGGAGGGATCTGATGGATGCCAATTTAACCAAGTGATCAAGCCTAGCATCCCCAATAAAGGGATAAATGTGTACTATTGGCCTGTCACTGTGACATACTGCAAAGTCCACAATATCCTCCATGTAGTGATCTTTGCAAAAATATTTAACCTGAATCTAATTATAAGGAAACTGGAAGAATCCAGAATTTGGAATAGTTTACATGATGACAGCCTTGGACACTTCAAAACAATCAATGTTGTGAAAAACAAACTAGAAACAAAAAAATGAGGAATTGTTCAAGATTAAAAAAGACTAAAGAACCTTAACAGACAAATACAAGGGGGGAGCCCTTGATTAAATCCTGAATTAAGACAAATATATACATATATACACACAATATATATATGTATTATATATATATGTGACACTTTGGGGGGGAAATGGAAAAATTTAATATGGACTGTATAATAGACAATACTATGGTGATAATGGCTTCATAGCTCTGTAGAAGAACTCCTTATCTTTAGGAAATAGCTGCTGAAGTATTTACAGCTTAAGTATCATGATATTTGCAACTTGCATCACATGGTTAAGGGGAAAAAAGAGAAAGGGATAGAGTGAACATGGCAAAATATTAAAAAGTAGTGAATCTAGGTGAAGGGTATACAGACTTCCACTGTACCTTCTTTGAACTTTTCTGAAGGTATGAAAAATTTTTTTAAGTTGGAAGAAAATTAAGTTCACATAATAAAAATGGGGAAATTATGCAATGTTAAGTAAAAAAATAAGGATATAAAACTGTATATACCACAATTATAGCTATATAAAAATAAAACAAGAAAAATGATGTTTATTCATTTCAACATTTGTTCAGCTTCTGCCACATGAAAGGCTCTGTGTTAAGTGATGGGAACACCCTGCTCCCCTACAGAATTCTGATTTTATGGTGTAATGCTTAAAATGCAAGTTTAAATCTGGCATACTCCACCCAAGTCTGAGAGGAGGCTTGTTGTGACAGCCTCACCTCTGTACCTTTGGTTCCTAGCAAACTACCTGGCCCCCATGAGGTGCTCAACAATGTCTGCTTCAGGAGCCGACACTCTGGTAGGGGAGGAAAGTGCATTAACAGATAACTTAAAACAAAAGTAAGGATGTGATGCATACAAGGTAGTACAGTTTTTTTAATTATCATTTAAACTCTACCTTTGCAATATCTCCCTCCCTCCTCATCTAACTTTATTTCCTACTCTACTCCACCACCAACCCTCCCCTTCATTAAGGTATGCTCATTCCCACCTCAATGCCTTCACTCAGTCCATGCTAGCCTCCCAGCTGGGAAGGACCTTTCACTCCTTCCCTTCATCTGTTCAAATCCTGCCCAGCTCTGGTCTACCTCCTCCACGGAGCCTGCTGTCTTTTGTGCAAAGTTAATTGATTCCATTCTGCAAAGCTGTCACCAGCTAAACTCCATACTTCTTAAACACATGTGGCTTCATTTGGCACCTGCCATTGTAAGCATTTTAGTCTTCAGATTCTGTTCATATCCATCATATCCCCTAATCCTCACGCAATTATCATGTCCTTTGCAGATAAAAGGAAAGTGAGGATCAGTGGCATTGAGTACCTTGCCCAGAGGTCTGACTAGAACCCACAACTATTAGACAACTGTTAGACTCTTGAGTCAGACACCTGGTGATAGTGCAGCCTCTCCAACGGATTAACTGGACCATTCTTTGGTATTTATTGCCTCTACATCCAGCTTTGCATCCTTAGTCAAGTTTTAAACTGTGCTTTTTAAAAATGTGCACGTCATTTTCTCTATTACTCTTTTTGAAATCAGTCACAATATCAGACTTTTCAAAATCCCTACAGTCCTGCTTCCTAAGTGTATGTGTATTGGGGGGAGGTGGGGGAGGCGGAGCAGCAGCATCTGTATCACACAGGAGCCTGTTAGAACTACAGTCGGGCCCCAAACCCCTGGGAGACTTAAAGAATCAGAAACTGCAATTTAAGTTCCTCAAATGATTCCTGTGAACGCTGAAGTTTGAGAAGCACTGTTCTGTAATACCAACTGGAATACGTACAAGGCAGAAACCCAACAAAGATTTTGAGACCTGGGCCCTGGGAAACCTAGGGACTTCAAAAGTTTGCCATCACAGTCTTTTCTACTCCCCTACGTTCGAGTCCCCTTCCCTTTGGGGCCTCACATGGTTCTTTGCCCCCTCATAAGGCGGACTTAAAACCTAAGGGTGACGGAGACTCTGAGGCAAGGGCTTGGGCGTGGGCAGTGCTGGTGAGGTGAAGCTGCTACCTTCCCAGCAGCGCCAAAAGCAAGTGTTAGCGTCGGCTTCAGGGCTGCAACATTTCTGGGGAGAAACTGGCTTTATTCTAAGACAAAAATGTCTATCGCTTGAGCATCCGAGCCTCGGGAGGATAAAGGATTTGTGACAGACAACATTGGAACTGTTTCTAGACTTGATTTATCGACTTGTCTGTTTCTATTCTGTCACTAATCTTATTGACAACGAAACCTGGGACGTGACTTGAGGGATTTCTGCGAGTGCGCGCGCTGCGGTCAGGCTGGGTGGGCCTGCTCCAAGCGGGTGCGAGGGTGGGTGGGAGGCGTTTGAGGAGGGCTGTTTGCCTGTGAGGAGGGCGTGTGTGGAGAAATGGGTGTCTCTTGGGGGCCGGTTGTCTGTGATGTGAGATGTGTCTGCTTGGATGGGGAGGCAGTGTGGGATCGGGTTTGTAGGGTGCAAGCAGTTGGATGGGAGGAGGTAGGTGGGGCTCCCACCGTAACACCAGGGAAGGGGTTGTTACAGACACGTCTGACGGAACAGCCCCTTTTCTCGCCCTCCCTGGTTTCCTCTAGGACGTTATTTTCCAGTTGGGAGGGCTTGGGGAAGGAGAGACAGAAACGGAAGCGACAGAGAGCCAGGAACCCAGGAGTCTAAGGGTTTCCCCTCTCTGCGTCGCGGGCGGAGCTGGGAACTGGGAAGAGGGAAAGGATGAGGACAGGTGCGCCCCCACAGGGGCACGTGTGGCGACACGTGGAGGATTCACCCTCAGTCCAGGAGTCGCAGCCCCTGCACTGGGGCCGCCCACTTCACTTCTCGCGCGTCCACACAGGCTGGCAGCTGGCAGCCTTGCTTCTCCGCCGGGGCAGGGGGTGGTCGACCCGGTTAGGGAGTGGAGCCCCGCCCCTCCGTTGTCACTGACGAGCCCCGCCCCCTCCCGCCGCTGGCGGGGCTCCGCCCCCTCCCCCTCCCGCTCCCGCCTCCGCCCCCCGCCCGGCCACAGCGCTCCCCTCGCTCAGTCTGGTTGGCCCCATGTTACTGAGCGGAGCTCCTCCGGCGGGCTCCGGCTCGGGGCCGCGGGCGCAGGGGAACGCCGGGGGCGGCCCAGGAGGGTCGCGCCGAGGCGCCGGGAGTGCGGGGGCCGGCCCAGGAGGGGGCGGCAGTGGCGGAGTGGCCAAGTGGCTCCGGGAGCACCTGGGCTTCCGCGGGGGGGGCGGCGGCGGAGGTGGGGGCAAGCCGGCGCCCCCAGAGCCGGACTATCAGCCCCCCGCACCCTCTCCGGCCGCTCCCCCCGCGCCACCCCCGGACATCCTGGCCGCCTACCGGCTGCAGAGGGAGCGCGACTTCGAAGATCCCTACTCCGGGGGGCCGTCCGGCTCCGCTGCCCTCGCCACCCCAGCAGTCCCCGGCCCTACGCCGCCCCCGCGCCACGGCTCACCCCCGCACCGCCTCATTCGGGTCGAGACCCCTGGCCTCCCGGCACCCCCTCCGGAGGAGAGGACCTCTGGACCCCCCGCCAGCAACGACAGGGTGAGTGGCTCGCCGGGCGGGGATGGCCGGGAAGAGAGGTGGTCGGGGGTCTGAGGCTTTTGAGAGGGACAAAGGTGGCCTTGCCAGGGCTGGGCCCTCGGTGTCACGGTTCCTGGAGCACAGGGTCTTAGTCCCTGACCCCGGGGCTCGGAGCCTTCATCACCTTTGTTCAGATTCTCCAGTGACTAATCTGGGCTGTGCGCCCCAAACTCTGCTTCTATCCCCTATTATCGCCCCAAGACTTGTGACTTTCCTCCTCCCGGGGTCTCCTCTCCTCCTCGCGCCCCTCCACCCCCTCCCAGAGCCTAAGCAGCTAGCCTTTTTCTAACGGGATTTGAACACACACACACACACACACACACCCCACACCCCACACCCCACCCCCAGTTTAAGACCTTTCTAACCTCTGGGAGCAGCCACTCACTGCCCTTTGATCTCTGACCCCTCCCCCCAGGGCAGAAGCTGCACAAAGCTCTCCTTCCTCTCTTCCCCATCCCTCTCCTCCTCCTGCTCCTTCTCAGGAAGCCCAAGCATACTTGCAGGTGCTGAAGCCCCAAAAAGGAGGTGAAAGCTGGGGTTTCTCCCCGTGGACACAGCAAGGGCTGGACTTTGCCTTACCCAGTGGAACTGGAACTGGGTGAACTGTTGTGCTCAGGAAGCCAAAACAGGCAATTTGCAGCTCTTTGCCAAAGAAGCTGACCACTGAGGTCTAGGCACTCCTACACTCCTTCCCTTGTCCCCCCAGGTATGGGGACAGTCAGCCTAGAGGGGGCTTAACAGCTGAGTCCACTCCTCCTGTCCTTTTAGCCTCCCTCTCCCCAGATCCATTCTGAGGGAGGCTCGAGTCTTTCCTCTATCTGTGGCTTGGGGTAGAGAGGAGAGCTGGGCACTCACTGCTCCTGGTGGAGAAGCCACCCCCTGCCCAACTCCTTATCCCTCCCCAACAGCTGAAAGCCATCCCTAGGCCCCTCTAGCCCTACATTCTGTGATGACTCTGTGGGCCACCTGGCTCTGTTGTTCCTAGTCACTCATCCCTGGAGCTCAGCTCAGGCTTACTCCCCTTTCCTCAGCAGAGAACATAGTTTACTAGTTTACTTGATTGGAGAGCAAAGTTGCCTGAATTGTTTGGCTCCAAGGTTGAGGCTTTCATCCGAGAGAGTGCCATTCAGCCTGAGTTCCTGGATAAGAAAGATATGTCAGGGTCAGAGCAGAGGCCTCAGGAATGTGAATTATTTTTCCCCTAGTTCCTGCCATGGGGCATGGCTGTCCATCCTGAGCCAAGATCCTCAGCCTGCAAAAGGAGGCTGTTCTTTCTTCACATGTCCATAGGCTCCTCTCCTTCTTAATTGTTACCTCCTGTTAGGTGATATGATGGTGGTGGTGATGGTGAGGCAGAGGAACTGTGAGGCCTTGTTCTTTCTATTGACCAGTTAGACTCCTCCTCCCTGACCACTACCCTTGGCATGTAGGCCTGAGCTGTTGCTGTCCCTCCTCCTCTCTGCAATGGCTTAACAGTTGCCCACCAAGCCGTGGGCTCCCCTGGGACAAGGACTGTGTCTTCCTTCTGTCTGTGTCTCCCAAGTGCCTGACACAATTCTTGGCATTAGAGAGAGGTGCATGAATACATCCCGGATGGTGGCTTTCCATTGCCAGGGTGACAACGTCAGAGACTCCCTGAACTACAGCTTCCCTTGTATGTGTTCCCTCAGAGAGCCCCAAGAAAGGGGCTGCACCCACGCAACCAAGCAGAGATCCACAGCCCCTTCCCAGTCAGGGCAACCATGCCTCACCCCAGGTGAGCCCTGTGATCTGTGGGCCATTCAGACCTTGGGGGCCAAGAGTTGTCTGACTACTTTGTCAGCTGCAGAAACAGGAATGAAATCTAGCAGGATCTCCCAGGAGACACACAACATGTGGTTTCTCTAGTGGGTGTGATAAGGATGACCCAGGATGCTATCCAAGCTGTCCCAGGGGCAGGGACACTCCACGGGCCCTAACGTGGAGCCTCCCAGCATTCAGAGAGAGCAGCAGCCTTTTAGGAGAAGATTCTGGCGGATTCCAGAGTCTTCGATTAGAAAGAGTGCAGACTAAGTACCCTAGCCCCTTACCCTAAGCCTAAATGTTGGCACATGTCTGCTGAGCTTTCAGAATTGCTGTCCCCCAACAGTGAGCAGGCCCTACCCTAAGGCCCTGCTGAGCCTGTTTCTGTTTTGTGGGGCTACTTTTCTCTCTATGCTCTGTTCCCCCTCCTTTCATCCTTGCAGGTCCTCTTGGCTTATTGCTTTTGGCTTATTCCTGAGGTGAGATGGGGACTGGGGGCCAGGACATGCCTCAGGCGGGCCTATTTCTCTCCTGCTGGAACTCAATGGCTGGTGCTCGCTGGGTCATGAGGTTTGAGGTAATAGATAGAAATGCTGTGATAAACCAGTGAGATTGAGGGGAAATGAGCCCTGTGAGTGTGGGAGTGGGAGAGAACCAGGCTTTAGACAGGACTCTGAGAGGCCCAGGGGGCTCAGAGCCATTAGCGTCTCCCCATGCAGGGCTCTGGCTTCTGGCCCACCCTGAGACCCACTACTGTACTTGGCAGGGGTGCAAAAGGGGCCATCTGGGCAGTCCTGGCAGGGCAGGTGTGGGAGCTGCAGGAGCAGCGCCCTGGACCTAGCAGGCAGGTGGTCCTCACCATCTGGCTGCAGGAAGAGCTCCCTCATGCTGGGCCCTGTCCAGCACCAGGCCACACTCTGGCAGAGGGGCTGGAGAACTGGGCCTTCCCTTGCTTTGCTCTCTTTTCTCAGACCTTCAACAGGAAAATGTGGTCTAATTAGGAAAGGAGGATGAATATGGGAAAGGAGCCTTAATTTTGAGCTGCCTGTGACCATCTGCATGATGTGTCCTTTGCCTCCTTCATGCCAAGATATGCACGTGTGTGTGCACATGCATGTGTGACACAGAAAGAGGTGATGTGAACAATAAGACAGTCAAGCTGGTATGGGTGACTGTAGTCACCATGTTGTTTTTCATGTGAAGTCTTTGTAGGAGTGTATGTCAATGATACCTTAATAAAAAAAAAATAAAATAAGATAGTCAAGCACCCTGTATAAATTGAAACTAGGGCTCTTGTTCTTAGATCTTGGAGGGGCTTCTGGGGTTCAGGAGCCTCCAGAAATTGTCTGCAGATATTGGGTGCATGAACACTTTTTCTGGGAAAAGGCTTAGAGCTATCAGATTCTATTAGGGGTTCACAGGGCCCAAAATATTAAGCACTTTTAACAATAGATATACCTCATAGATGGTATCCACATGCACTTGGATCCTCCAGGCCCAAATTTGGAAATGAGTAAACAGCCAGGTAGGAAGAGGAAAGAAAAGGAGACATTCATGGTGTCTGAAGTCAAACAAGACTGGCCTGCCCGGAGGTAGGAGGGCTGGTAGGGCTGCTACTGCAGGACCATCCCTAGTTGGTGTCCACGGAGTGTCTGCATATCATGAAGTGACATTGGCCAAGGCACTGAGAGGGACTTAGCACCTTGAAGACCTGGTCCTTGCCTTTTAAGTTTGCTTGTTTCCTTCAGTTTTCTTCTTATAACTTCCAGAGTCTGGAGGTCTGATCTGTTTATCTCGCATGTGTCCTCTGATGGAGGTAGAGGGAGGACGAGAGAAGGGTCCAGGTTGAGGGATCTTTGTGGACTGATCTTAGCCCTTCACGGCCTGGACTGGCTGTCAGCACTGCCGCTGATGCTTCGAGGAGGGCCGAGGCCTGCGGCTACTGTGGAGTTATCTGGTAGGCTTGTCCACTCCATCCAGTGCTGCTGCCTCACACTGTGGCACTAGCTTCCTCTGGAAGACATCTGCAGCTTGTTGGCTTGGCCAGTGACTCAGTGACACCTCAGCCCTGGCATTCGGTCCTTTCGGAGCCGGGAACAGCTGGGACCCTGGGGATTGGTGGGAGCAGCTGGCTGGGACCTGGGGCTTGGAAGCATACCTGCTGCCCACTGCAGTTGCCCTCAGCACCGAGCCAGTGTGATACTATGTGAGAGCAGAGGCAGGGTCCAGTCCCAGTGTGCAGTGAGCCTGTGGTGCTCAGAGCCTGGGGCCCAGCATGGGGCTTCACAGCACCCAAGGCACCTCACTCTCTTAGAGCTTATTTTGTGGCTGTCACTGTGAGCTCTTGGAGGACCCGGGAATTCAGTCTTTTTGTCTTTAATTATACAACGGTAGACATTTACTGAGCACCTACCTTGTGCCTGGTGCCATTTTGAAGCAGCTGATATGTATGAGACCAGTTGACCCTTGCAACAATGCTGAGGAAAATTCTGTTATCCCTGGGTTATATATAGGGAGACTGAAGCACAGGATTGTTGGGTCACGCTTGCATGGTTTCACAGCTAGTAAGGAGGAGAGTTGAGGTTAACAGCCAGGCAGCCTGACTCCAGACTGCCTGCCAGCATCATGCCATGGGATCTTTGCACCTACCAGAGGAGCCCAGCAGAGTGAGGTGTTCACTAAGCATTTGCTAATGAACAAGGTGAAGGAGACTCTGGGAAGGAGTAAGGAGTGCATTCTGTGCTGAGTTCCCCATTTCCTGAACACTCAAGGCCAGCACTTGCCAGTCAATACAGAGGGTCCACCTTATAAGGGTCTTAAGATGGTTGGTGGCATTAATTCCATGTCTGTGATCTTTGAATGTTTTACAAGCATGGCATTGCTTTGTAATTAGAAAAGAATAATAACAAATTTGTTTCATGTGAAGGAGGATTCCCTGGCAGATAACGCTGGGATGGGCGTTCCAATAAATGAGAACAGAGGGTGCAGAAAGTTCAGTCTCAGGGAAGGTAAATAGTATTCTATTTCCCAAACTGACAGACTTTCAGTGGAAAAGGGATTTAATGGTTAAATACTTTAGAGAAATGCTGAATTAAATAAGATTAGACTGCTCTTTTTGCTTTAAGACTTCTTAGAGCCTTTAACATGCTAAAGTGTATTTTAAAACTACAAGTTGAGGAAAGAAGATGCTATGTTTCTCAATTTTTCTGGAAAATCTGTGGCAAAGTACTAGGAGTCAGGAAACCTAGATCCCAGTTTTGTCTCCATTTGCTAGCTGTGTACCCTGATGAGCACCTAAACCCTGAGCCTTAATGCTTGAATATAAACGATTACTATCAGGGACAACATTTATTTAGCACTGACTCCATGCCAGCCTCTAGGCATAGGACTTGTATTCATTGTCTTCTTCCCAAGCCCGTGAGGTAGGTACTAATACCATCCCCATTTTGCAGATAAAAACCAGAGGCTTCCAGGTATTAAATGTAGACTAAGGAAATGGAGGAAAGCGGTATACTTTGGCAACCTTGAAGAGCCAAAATCTTGTGACACATACCCCCTTGCTCCCCCAGACCCAAAGCCCTCTGGGTGGGGTCAGGCACACAAGCAGGGTCCAGCTGCAGAGTGGAAGGCCGAACCAGATGGTGGGACTGCTAGCTCCCTGGGGAGAGGCTGGGGCAGGAAGGAGAGTCAGAGCATGGCAGTGGCTCTGGAGGGGCACTGACCAATTGGAACAGGCCCAAAAGCAGGTCTTGGAGGCACCCTGTTGGCTGACAGGAGGGAGGGGGATCTCATTGGCAGGAGCAGGGGGCAAGGGAGCCCTCAGGTCAGCAGCTACTTAACTACTAATTTGGAAATATTTCAGCATTTCATCAGCGCTCTGACTCTACTAGAGGGTTTGCCTAAATATCAGCCCTGGTTTTAGGTGCCCTCTCTGCCAGTTCCTCCTTCTGCCTTTGAGCCACAGGCTTTGATTGCTGATGAAATGTCAGTTCTCCTGACAGCCTACTCCTACAGCTGCCACAGGTCGGTCAGTTAGGGTGAATGGTTGTCTGAGGGTCTGCACCACTCCAGAAGATGGATTCCTTTTGAACATCCAGTAAATGTGCATTGAGCACCTACTGTGTTCCAGGTCCTGTGATGGATAGAACAGTGAGCACATCAGAAACGGGCCCATAAACAAATTAAATTGTTGTCAGGCAAAGGTGTCAGAAGTCAACAGCAGCTTCCCTATAAGCCCCTGAGAAAGCAGGCCTGGCCTCAAAGAAGGGTCCTTTATGTCCAGGGTGGGTTCCCACCCTGCCAGCTTTCTCAACCGGCATCTCTGCTGCTGCTCCTGACCTGGCCCCGTGGGTGGTGGCTCTAGGTGCCCCAGCCCTGGGCGGGTGGCCCAAACTTCCTGGAAAAGGGTGTGGAGTCAGGGATGGAACAGAGGAGCCATTGAGTTGCACACAGACCTGCCACCTGGGCACCCACAGGCTGGCACTGGGGAGGCCCACCCAGGCCTGAGAGAGGTTGTGCTTCAGGCACTGGCCCAGGCCTCCAGTAAGAAGGGCTCTGTATGCTTCATGAAGGAAGGGCTGGGGGCTCCCTGGAGTTGGGGGAATGGGGGCTTGGGCCAGGCACTTATGCTCCCTGAGCAGCCTCCAGGGATGCAATCTCCCTATATGACCTCGCACCCCACCCAGATTCATGTTCCTCCTCCTCCTGAATGAGCAAGGAATAGTGCATTCTTACTCTTTTATGTGAACTGATTTTACAGATATTTACTGAGCACTTTCAGGTGCTGAGAATTTAGCAGTAAACATGGTTCCTGGCCCCAGGAAGCTCACAGTCTTCAGTCACACCACTGTCGAGATATAAAGCAGCTATTTACTACACAGTGTGATGATAGTCCAGCACAGAGACACCTTACCAGGCCTTGGGAGAATGGAAAGGCTTTCTGAAGAAAGAAAACAATCTGATCCAGGCAGAGGGAAAGACATTTTAGTAAGAAAGAGAGGGTAGAGCTTTCAGGTAACAAATTGATCCAAGGTGGATAAAGAGAAATGAAAGAGGAAGGTGGAATCTTTGAATTCCTTTAAGTCTGGATTTTCCCTTACAGGCACAGGAGAGCCATTGCAAGGTTCAAGGATAGCCTCCCCACTGGTTCAGTTACTGTTGGGTAGCTGCCACATGTGAGTGTGAGGCTAGGTGCCCACTGGGCTGGTACCCAACCAGCTGGGTCCAGAGCCCCCTTGGTCAGGTGGGTCGGGCTGTGGGTGCTAGTTGGCCTGAGAAGAAGCAGCTGGGGTGAGAGTGGATTTCTTTTCTCTACTTCCTAGAGGAAGGACTATATATGGATAGAGGGCTCTAAGGGGAGATGGGCAGTGATATGGTAGAAACATTTTTCTAGTATCTCCTTTGAGCTGGGTACTTATTGGAGCTGGAGAGATAAAGTGACAAAGAGCTCCAGGCTAGTGGATGATCTGGTGGTAGTGATGGGATGATCTGAGAGGGTGGTCTTCCCAGAAGCAGACAGAGATTCAGGGAGGTGAAGGAGCTGGGGGCTTGACTGAAACAAGGTGGAGCAAGGTGGGAGCTGAAGAAATGAATGATGAGATGCTAGAAGCTGTTGGGACGGGCTTTAGAGACCCCTAGAGGGGCTTGTGGGCATCCAAGGAACATGCAGATGGGATCTCTGAGATGGGAAGTTGCCTTTCTCCATTGCTGCCTTGCTAGGCATTCCAGGTCCTCTAACTCAGGGCAGGGCAGTCACCCCCACAGCCTCCTTGCCCAGTCAACTCCCACAGCCCTGATTTGGCCCGAAATCAAGGCCTAGACCAAGAGCAGGGGGAGAAGCAGGAGTGACCCCTGCCCATGCTGCAGGCCCTGGAGCCACCTCTTGCCAGTGCCTGTTAACCCAGTGTGCAGTGGCCCCCCAACAGAGTGCTCGCAGCCCTGGGTGTGCTGGGCTCTGTCTCTGCCTCAGCTGATTCCTCCCTCATCTCCCCAACCCTGCGCGCTTCTGCCCAACTTGGAGAAAGGCTCTATTGTGCTCAGCTGTGCCCCACCCTGAGCACCTTGAGCTCTTCTGCAGGGTGTGTGGGTTGCGGTTTCCCCGCTTTGACTGGCAGCAGGGACGGGGTAGCCATGATTCGCTAAGGGCTAATGCGAGGCCCTTCCTGTCCCTGTCCTCCAGGAACCCAGGGGATTCCAGCAGAAACACAAATCCTGGCTTTCCTTAGGGCTAACCTGAGGTGGTCTCTCCCCCAAGACTGACAAGATGCCCTTTTGTGGTACGTTGGCAACATGATTTTGCACAAAGGGCTCAGGTGCAATCCTGGTTCCTCCACATTCGCGGAATAGTCTTGGGCATGTTGTTCCCCACCTGCCCTGAGCCTCTTATTTCCTGAATATGGGGATGATAATAGCCATAGATGTTAAGAGGTAAACCAGCAGACCAATGGCACAAAGGGAGTACTCAGCCCTTCCTTCCCTGATGGTCAGCAAATTTCTGTTGTTCAACATGTGGGAATGCACTGGGAGGCATGGACCACGCTAATCTCTGAGTTGCCTACTGTTCCCTCCTTGCTCTCTGAACTCTTTCAACACCTTTGTTCTCTGAATTAACTCCCTCTGTTGAACCACCTGATGTAGGCTTTGTCCTGCCTGGACCTTGACTTTAAGGTAGCCTGAAGGCCCAGAGCCTTATCCTGGCCATATGACCCAGGGAGTGGCCCAGAGGCACAAAATTAACAGAAAAGGAAGATCTACCACTTTGTTAGGGACCCCTGCAAAGGAAGAGCCCGAGCTGGTCTGCATTCAAGCTCAGAGCCTGCCCTCAGGTGCCTAGACTGGGTCCTAAGGCATTCTGCCGAGGACTCTTCTTGCTCCTTTGGACAGAGCATCTTGGGAGAAGCGGAGCTGCCTCTTGGATGTCTGAAGCCTGCTCTCCTTCCACAGTTGGCAATCCTAGAAGACTATGCGGACCCATTTGATGTTCAGGAAACTGGTGACAGCCCAGCAGGGGCTTCAGGAGCCCCAGAGAAGGTTCCTGAAAATGATGGCTACATGGAGCCCTATGAGGCCCAAAAGATGATGGCAGGTGAGTGACAGGGAAAGGGTGGGGTGTGGGAGTGCTCCCTAGGGCTTGGGTTTCTGCAGAAAAGTTTCTGGGACCTACAAATCTAAGGACTGGTACCTTTGTCCCTAGAAAACACGGAGAAAGCCTTTACTAGGTCCTTGGAGAAGGTGGCCACTGCCTCCAAGATAGTTGTTTTGAAGAAGGAGCTGTGATTTGTGGTGCCTGAGTCCTGAGGTGGTAGAGAAAGCCACGCAACCAGAGGTCACACAGATAGAAATTATTGGGATAGTCAGGGACGGCAAGATGGTGAAGTGCATGGGAGTCATTGATCCCAAAGGCAGAATCACTAGCTTTAGGGAAGGTGGTGAGTTTGAACTGATGTGATGTCAAAGTAAAATGTCTTTATACAGCAATTGGAAACACATGACTAGAAATGCAGATGCAATGCACACAAGACTGGGCAAGTAGTTCAAGGGGTGAGAGCAGGGAGAAATGAATGAGACCTGACCTAGGGGAACAGAGACCAAGAAAGGATTTAGGGAAAGAGACCAAATAGGGGTGATCAGAGAGGAGGACATGGGTGAGTCAGTCTATGCCAAGGCTCAAGGCAGGATAAGAGGAAGGTTCGTTCAGAGACAAACAATCTTAGTACTAGGCACACAGGGAAGCCAAGATGAGAGAGGCCAAGAGGGGCAGTGAAGGGCCTCAAGGCTGGAAGGAGGCATTTGGACTTGCTGCAAAATGGGGATGGGGGCCATTATGGATTCTTGAGCAAGAAAGGAACAGGATGAATATGGCATTTTAAGAGGATTACTGAAGCTTTGGTGTATAGAAGGAACTAGAAGAACTGGGCATCAGAAAGATGAGTTAGCAGGTTATTGTGGAAATTGTTGATGCTTTAAGAGCTCACCTTACGTACTTCTTCCTTCCCCTCCTGAGCTTGTGAATTACTGAGAAATAAGATTAAGGAAAAAGACAGATGGAGATAACAATGTCAACTTTTTTACTGAAAAAGTTGATCGGAAAAAACATTACTTAACTTTGTCACCATAGTGACACCAAAGCTTCTGAATACTTTGCCACAAAATTAAACTTCCTAACCAGGCTTGGGTGACTCAGGACAGCTTGAAGGCCCTTGCATGGGGGCAGGAGGAGAAAGAACCAGAAGGCAGATTTGAAAAAGAGAGTGAGCATCCATTGGCTGATCAGATAAGCTGCCCTCCCTCCTTGAAAAAGGTGGGTGCAGAGACAGAGCAATCAGGAGTGTTACCCTGTGGAGTCCCTGGAGACACGAGCCTGTAGAATGGAGGTTTGCCCTAGCAATAATCTAGATGTGGAGAGATGAGGATGAAAGTCACCAGGTATTGGCAATGAACAGGTGGGATTCAGAGAAGGAAGGAGGGCCAGGACCAAGGAGAGCAGTGGACAGGAATGGAGACGGTGGGAGGGTGGCTATGCTGTTTAGCTCAGAAGGGTGTGGACCTCTAGGAGGCCCATGAATGTCCTGGAATTATAAGTGAAAATTTGCACTTTTTTCTGGGAAGTAGCTCCATAGCATCGATCAGATGTTCATTGAAGTCAATGATCCAAAAAGAGAATGGCAGAATAAACTAGAAGAACTTTTTGGGAAAGTGGTGAGTTTGAAACATCAAAGTAAAACATATTGATAGAAATTACAAATTGCTAACAGGGTCATGAGACTGGGCAAGTAGTTCAAGGAGTGAGGGCAGGGAGAAATGGATGAGACCTGGCCCCGGGGAACAGAGACCAAGAGAGGATCCAGGGAAAGAGACCAAATGGGGTTGATCAGAGAGGAGGACAGTCCATGAAAATGACAGTCAAGGGGACAGTTTCAAGGAAAGGGTGATCAGCAGTATGTGAGCAACAAAGAAAGATTTTTGATTGTGAAATGATATCACTTGGGATACAAAGAAATACATGGAGCTGGGTAGCAAGGAGGAGATGGACTTAGAAGAGGACCCTGCCTCAGTTACCTAAATGTGTAAGCCTCAGCTCTCCAGACTTTGCTGGCCATCACAGAATCTTTTTTCTGTCTTTCACTCTGGTGCCTCTCTGTCCCTGCCTCTGTTGGGTCCCAATGCTTTTGGAACCCCAGAGGTGCTTTAAGGGCAAGGGACCCAGATGTGTGGCCACTGGGCTCCCCCCAGAGCCAGTGGCACCTCCTCTGAAGGAGGCTTGTCTCATGGCTGGGGAACATTGCCAGAGGAGCTGAGCCAGGCAGCCAGTGCTGAGCTCACACCTCTTCCCTCTTGCCCTGGCAGAGATCCGGGGCTCCAAGGAGACAGCAGTTCAGCCCCTGCCTCTGTATGACACACCCTATGAGCCAGAGGAGGAGGGGACCACCCCAGAGGGTGAGGGGGTCCCCTGGCCCCGAGAGTCCCGTCTGCCCGAGGATGATGAGAGGCCGCCTGAGGAGTATGACCAGCCCTGGGAGTGGAAGAAGGAGCGGATTTCCAAAGCCTTTGCAGGTGAGTCCTGGGTGGAGAGGGCAGGTCTGGGGCCTCTGAACAGCTTTCCAGACTGAGGGGAATGGAAGGAATGGGACCCAGTGGCATGGGGAGGCCCAAGAGCTGAGTCAGGGGAAGCATAGTTGAGTCCTCACCATGGAGATCGGTGAGTTGGGATGTGCGAATGCAGCACTGTCTTGTAGGGTAAGGGAATGGGCGCGGGAGAAGGGTGAAGGCACCGGCCTGCAGCCCCGCCTCTTGGAGGCAGAGGCTTGTTCTACTTCTGTGTTTTGGGGGAGCTACGTATATTTAAAAATAAAGAAAATCCAAACAAAAAGATAAAACTTGTGGCTTATGTTAAATACTTTCACTTAACAAAAGAAGGCATTTAACACTCCAGACAGTGAAAATAGCTGTATATGTAACCTTTAGAGATACCAGCCTTGAATTAAAGGGCTGTGGCTCCTGGTGTCATGGGTGCCTAGCCCCAGGGGGATTTCTGAGGGGCAGGAAGAAGTAAGGAGAGGGAGGCTGTGAGAAATCCCTTTTGCTGAATGAGGATCAGGTTTCTCCTGTTCCAAGCACCCCAGTGTCCATCCCAGGCCCAGAGTCCAGCATGGAGAGTATGTGCTGGTGATCTGAGCAGTGGCACAAGAGGTACAGAAGTATGGAAAGGATTAGCTCCTGGATCATCAATTCAGAGAGAATATAAAGAACTTAAATGCCATTAGTCCTCATTCCCACTCTCCCACGTTCCCCTCACCCTTCACTGGGCAGCTGCATCCTGGACCTGGACGCAGTCTCTGCTCTGCCCTCCCCACCCTGGAGCCAGACTGGGAAACCACAGGTTTCTAATTTTTTCCTGTAAAGTGCGCACCACTGAGGATGGGCCGTTTATCTCCAGAAGTCTCCTTGGAGAATCAATACTGTTTGGATTGCTTAATGGGAAAATCTATGCTCGTCATTAGGAAGCCTCCTTAGCAGTCTTCTTTCCTGCCAGTGGCATCACACTTCTAATTGTCCAGGCCCAGGATTGAAGGTGTGGGGGGTAAATTTCAATGAAACATCTGCCCCACATCTCAGTATTCCTGACAGCCGGGCTGCCTCAGTCTTCCTGCCCATGAGTTCCCTGGGAGGTATGGGCAGCTCCTGCCCTTTTCCTCCTTTCCTGGTCCTTTTGGGCCCTGGAGGCTTGTGAGAGGTCAAATGAAGGGGACCCACAGAGCTGGTGGCAAGGCCCTGCTCCTGCCATTCTCCTCCTGTGCCTCCCACCTTCTAACCAGGCTGGCCTGCTGTGGTCAGTGAGTCTCCGCCCAGCTCTCTGAGGGTCCTGGTGCTCTACCAGAAGCCACTCCTGCCTCTGCTCTGATCCTCCTCCTTTCTAGGCTGTTCTGTGTCCTAGCTCTGGTTTTGGTGTCTCAACTTCTGCCTCTCTCTGTCTCTGTCTCTGTTTCTGTCCCTGTCTGTGTCTCTCCTCCCTGCTGCTACTGGCTCCAGTTGACATTAAGGTCATCAAAGACCTACCTTGGCCTCCACCAGTGGGACAGCTGGACAGCAGCCCCTCCCTGCCTGATGGGGACAGGGGCGTCTCCGGTCCAGCCTCACCCCTCCCTGAGCCCAGCCTGGAGGACGGCAGCGGTGGGTCCTGTGGGGGCTTATGGCCAGGGTGATGTGTCCTCTGGCCCCTCAGGCCCTGCGGGCTTGGGCTGGAGTTGCTGAGAGGTGGGGCAGCGTTGGATAACCCAAGAAGAATCCTTCTCATCCTGGGGGAAGAGGGAAGGGACAAAATACCCATTCCTCCCTCCCCAAAAAGTATGGGAAAGTGTCTCTTAAGTGAGAACCCTTCCACATAGCTTCCCCACCATGCCACAAAATCCACTACTTTAAATTGACTTCTTCCGGTAGAGCTCTGCCTGTTGAGATCCTTTAGCAATGCAAATAACTCCTGACTGGGGCTGATATTCACACAGGAAGTGTCCAACTCCTCAAAGGAAAGGATCTGATCTTTGCATCTGGTGACTAAAAGACAATCAGGGCTACAAGGAGAGAAAAAGAGCCCAAATGGGGAGAGAGAAGGCACTGAGCCCTTCATCTGTGTTCAGTTTTGTCCAGAACAGACAGCCAAGGGGGTGTGCGTGTGTCTGTTCATGCATGCACAGGCATGAGCACCTGCTTGTGCGTTTGTGCCCGAGTGTGAGTGGGTGTTTTATAAGTACAGGGTGAAGGAAGGTCTGTGTGTGCCTGTGCCCGTGTAGCCAGCTGGCTTCGGCCCTTCCTCAGGCGGGCTCTGCAGTCAGGCCTGCCCTGGTCCAGGAGGGCAGAGCTGCTTCCACTGGGGTTCTGAGGGGAGGGGAGGGGAGGGGAGCATGTGGGCAGTGACCTTGGGGGCTGGCCGGCTGGCAGCTTTGGGCAGGATTAGCCTGTCAGGATGGCACCAAGGGGATTCGGATAATTGTTCTCAGATCGATAAGTCATTTCTACAGAATGGCTTGGCTGGGTGATTTGGAAAACAGTAATGAACTCTGAGGAGGAGAAAGAAACAATATTATCAGCACTGAAGCCACCCTGAGGGGGATAGACTAGGGGAAGACAGTCAGCTGCCACAGAGGGAAAAGCTTAAGTGGCTTCTTATGTTGCTTCTCTCCCCTCTCCTCCCACAGAGTGGGGACTGAAAGGCCCTGTCGTGACACAGGAGGGCTAAGCCCCCCACCACTGGGGGGGTGGAGCCAGGATTCTGTCCCTAGAGCCAGTCAAACCCAAGAGCATATCCTGCCCTTCCAGAACATACCTTTGACCCCTTTTGGCAGGAAATGGGTGTGGGGCTTGGCTATTCTATAGGGCTCTACTTCTGGGGTCCTCAGAGTCTATGACTGGTATGTTCCCCACAGCCCAGTTTGAAGGATCTGAGAAGAGCTGCCTGTCACCTGGCCGGGAGGAGAAGGGGCGGCTACCTCCCCGACTCTCTGCAGGGAACCCCAAGGCAGCCAAGCCTGTAAACGTGGAGCCCAGCAGCCCCCTGGGGGAGTGGACAGACCCAGCACTTCCTCTGGAAAACCAGGTGTGAGTGTCTGTGTCCAGCTGGGGATTCTTTTCCCTCCCCTTCCCTCCTGGCACTGGCTTGCCTGCAGGGGACACCCAACATGGGTGGGCCTGGACAGTGAGGGACCCAGCAGAGATGCCCCCTTCCTCTCTCTCTCATCTTCAGCTGGTACCACGGGGCCATCACTCGAACAGATGCCGAGAACCTGCTCCGGCTGTGCAAAGAAGCCAGCTACCTGGTGCGCAACAGTGAGACCAGCAAGAATGACTTCTCCTTGTCCCTCAAGTGAGTGGGGGTGGGTCAGCTATCAGCCTTAGGCATGATTAACCTGTCAGGATGGCACTGAGGGGATTCTGTGGGAGGACAACCAGCAGGACAGGAAGAGACTCTAATATTCTCCCCATGCCCAGCCAAGCTGGGGAGAACCTATCAGCTGTGAACATTTGCCAACTCTGGGCCAGGCCCTGGGGATCCAGAAAGGACTGAGGTTCAGCCCCTGCTCTCAAGGAGCTCAGAGTCCATTGGGGGAAACAGTCAAGCTACCGTATCCAGTTCAGAAGGGTTCTGTCACCAGCTGTGTGGCCTGAGGCCCCTTAACCTCTCTGGGCCGCAGTTATCTTACTTAGAAAACAGGGGGATAATAGTATCTACCTTATAGGAAGGATTAAATAAAATAATGTATGGGAAGCATTTACCATGGTGCTAACTACTCAATAAATATCACCATCATCATTATTAATGGGAGTCTAGATGTTCTAGACGCACAGACAAGGAAATGGGAACTTTCCCTGAGGCAGTTTACAGGGTGAGATGGAGACTGGGTCCTGGAAAGAGGTCAAACAGTGGACACAAAGCTATTCTTGTTCACTATCAAGAAGTAGACAGGAGGTTTGGGTGCTAGTGGCTGACAACTGAGCTTTAAAGGGTGCTCAAAGAGGTGGGGGACCCTCCCTTCCCATCTGCCTTCCTTACCGGAACAGATCCTCTACACAGACCAGCTTTGGCCTCCCAGGCTCTCTAGCAAGGTAGCCAGTCCTTTTCTTGGCATCCTGGAGCTGTGCCTGGTTGAAGCCTGTGTTCCACATGCAGCCTGTTAGAGTGTGTACCCACTGATTCTCCCCCTCACCTGTGGGACATCTGCACCACTTCCCACCAGATTTTCTGGGGGCATTAGAGTACAGGTGTGTCCCAAATAAATTCAATATATGGAAATTTGGGACTACTAAACAAGTACATTTGAGGATATTATTCAATATCAAGTAAAAGATAATGGAAAAAAATACCTGACTCCAGGCAGATAATGAATTGTATTGTGACCCTAGGTAAATCACTTAACCTCTTTGGGCCTTGATTTCTCCCTTTGCAGATGTGTTGATGGACACCTCTTAGGTTTCTTCTAGCTCTCATACTCTGGGAGCCTGCAAATTATCAGAAAATCAAAGGGGCATTTAGGAAGAATTCATTTGTCAAAAATTTGATTTATGTAATTTCAGGAATGTATATTTCCTTAAAAATTAAAGGTCCCCAGAGCATCTACTATGTGCCAAGCAGCACATATACCATCTCCAAACTAGCTACGGTCCTGCAAGATCAATCTTTTTTATAAGACAGAAAATAGGTTCAAAGAGATATGTGACTTGCTCAAGGCCACCAGCTAATTAAAGTGCCAAAAGCAGAGTCTGAACCAGCTCAGTCTGACTCCAAGAACACCACTGTTCCATTGCCCAGTTCCACCTCTCACCAAGTCTGGTGTGGTCCAAGGCAAAGGGAAATGTAAGGGGTCTGGCTGCCTGAACAGAGCAGAGCAGAGCCAAGCCCCAGCCGTGCCTTAGCCTGGGGAGAAAAGGGGGAGGCAGGCCTGGACACTCCTCTAGCCCTGGCTGATCTGGCCCCACAGCGTCTGTCTGGCAGAGCCTTGTTTGCATATAAATGGCTTCTCTGAAATACAATTATGGTTTCTCTTCTCTCTATAATGGAAGGGCTTTCACTGGTAATTAAACAGCGTCCTCCAAAAGCCAAGCCAGCACTGGCCCTGCGACCCAGCTAGTCCCACCCAGGCTCCGTGAGGGTCCTGCAAGGGCTCTGCTGTGTCCTAACGGGACCCTTGGCACTTTGTTCCAGGAGGTCAGTTATCCAGATTGTGGCTGAGCTCTGAGTTCTGTGCCACTTGTTGCCCTGCTTGGCTAGATCTGTCCTTCAAGGAGAGGATATAATGCCCAGTTTTGGGGAGAGGTGATTCCCTCAAGTGGACTGTGGGAAGGGAGCTATCCTTAGCTTGTAAGAGGGTGAGGGAAGGCAGGGCCCAGGCTGCTGCCTGCTGGGCCTCGACAGGGCAGAAAGTGGGGGAACCCTCACTGCCTCCCTTCTTCAGAGCCTGTGTGGTCCCTGTCCTCAGCCACAGCCCACAGCCGTTATCTCAGACCCACAGATGACATAATGTTGCCACACCCTGACACACACCCAGCCCTGGGGCCCCCACCAGGCTTTAGGGATTGTACCCTGGAGGTGGGGAGAATGGAATTGAGCCTATTTTTTCCTCCCATCCCCTTCTTCTCTTCAGTCACCCAACTCTCCCACTATCTTATTTGTGGGCCTAGTGAAATGGTCCAGTCAGGGCCCTTGTTGTACCCAGGCAGGGTGGACAACTGAGGAGATTTGATTAGCCTCACCTCTCAAGGGTGGGAACCTCATGGTGAGGCCACCCGTCACCGTCCTGCCTCCCACACCAGCTTCTGAGCCCTGTCCTTGTCCCAAATAGGCCCTGGCCAGCAGATCAAGCACTCAGGCTTCAGGGCTCCCCCAGACATTGCTCTCCTCCTGCCTGTGCGTGAGTCTCAGATGTGTCGCCAGGCTACCCAGGCCTGTGGTAGTCTGGACAAACATTCTTGCTTGGGCCCCATCCCTGCGCACTCTTTAAGGCTGAGGGTGCCAGAGCTCTGAGCAGCAGAGTCCTTGTGCTGTTGGCAAGGCCTGGCACCTGATGCTGATTTCCTGGACTGTGGTGGGGAGGTGCGAGAGGCAGGGGGAGCAGGTCCTCTTCGAGGGAGGGGATGGAGCTGTCTCACCCATGAAGCCATCCCAGGCTGAGCTGGGGCCCTAGCCCAGGGCCCAGTTAGCCGGGGTGTGAAGGGATGTCTCCAGGACCAAGCAGCTGAGCAATCCCAGAGTTGGGAGGGACTTCCAGAGCAGCTCACTGCCTCCCCTAGTCTCTCCAGGAGAGAGCCCCAACTGAGACTTCCCTGGTCGTCACATTTGTCCACCCACACCTGTCACGGGTGTCTGTGTCTCTACATGAATCACCAGGAACCCCCACACACATGTCCTCCCCAACAGCTCAGGCAGGGGGAAGGTGAACCAGCGCTGGCCCCAGAGGCTGGAGGGCAGAGGTGCCTAAATCCCAGGGGTGGGGGTGGAGTGATGCTGGTCGCTTATGTGTACATTCCCTGCACACTCACTGCACACTATTCTTGGCACACCAGGTGCACTCCCCACAAAGCCAATGCCTACTGCTACCTACTCACAAAATCCCCTCCTCCCCTTCTTGCTTTCTGGACAGTCCCCCACCTTCCCTAGTGGCCTACCCTCAGCTGGCCAGGAACAACCACATTGGCTGCAGGGGTGAGGGAGGGGAGGGTGGCTGAAGAGGGCCCCCACTCACCAGGGTCTCCTCTCCTCTTCCCAGGAGCAGTCAGGGTTTCATGCACATGAAACTGTCTCGGACCAAGGAACACAAGTATGTGCTGGGCCAGAACAGCCCACCCTTCAGCAGCGTCCCTGAAATCGTGCACCACTACGCCAGCCGCAAGCTGCCCATTAAGGGGGCCGAGCACATGTCCCTGCTCTACCCCGTGGCCATCCGGACTCTGTAGGTGTGAGGCTTCAGCACTGTGACAGATCTGGACGCAGCTCTGTGTTCATCCCCCGGCTGAGGGTCGTGACTGTCCCCGGGACATGATCTCCCTTTCTTCCTTCACCTTGGGATCTAGTGCAAGCTGGAGATTTAAATTATTCTAAAGCGGAAGGGCTACCGGGGCCTTAGAATAAGTTATCTGGAGGTGGGGATAGAGAAATCCCCGGGAAGAAGGGCTAGCTACTGGAGAAGGGGGCTTCAGAACGGCTGGTCTCCTGGAGTTTAAGATCAGCAGCCCAACCCCTTTCGGTCCCTAGGGCACAGGTGGGGATTGCCTTCCCCACCGGCCTCATTCCGCCGGTCACTGCGGGGTGGGGCAGGACGCGGGCCCGCTGGGCGCGCGTACCACCTCTCCGCCTCCACCCCCAAACCACCGGCGGGCGTCGCCCAGAGTCTGGTGCGGGGCTTGGGGAAGGCGGACCCCTGGAATGGAGACAGCATTGGGGTTGGGAGAGAATGGGAAGGGCTCGGGCCGGAGGGAAGCTATGCAGTCCCCAGGCCGCCCCGGCTCCCGGCCAGAGGCAATAAATAAACAGTCCTGCCAGGCTCTGCAGCGTCCGCGCCTCAAGCGCCGCCCCCGGGCTGCCGAGGGAGGGAGCGGCGAAGCCGGCACAGATTCTGTTTATAAAATCAGCTCTGGAGCAGACACAGGCCGGCTGTGAAAAGCACTTCCAGAGCATCAAGTTCCTTCCTTTGACGAGATGTCAAAACATCCCCCGCCGCCCCCGCCCGGGCTGGGAGAGCCCGGAGGCGGCCGGCCGCGCGGCGCCCCCTCCCCGCCGCTCCGGTGAGCGCGGCTCCCCAAGAGCGCGTCCAATTTCCTGCCAACAGCCATTTGTTTGGGAGGAGGGGAGCCGCGGAGAGACAAAGAGGCAGCGCGCCAGGCGGGAGGGAGTGGGGCGGCCCTGCCACGCGGAAGCCGCGCGCCCGCGGAGGAGGGAAAGCTGGCGCTGCCGACTGCGTTTTCTTTCCAGAGGAAGCGGAGGATCTGCCGCGCCTTCCTCATTCCGGGAAGAAGGGGTCCGGCCCCGGAGACCTGCAGCCCTCCGAGCCTGGACTCGTACCTCCCTCCCGGCTCGGGCTCCCGGCGGGGCCGTCCGTGCACGCCCCCTGCTGGCCGCGCCTCTAACCGCAGGCCTGGGGCCCGGGGCCCCACCAGCTTGCTGCTCTACGGGCGCCCACAGCTGCGACCCAAGGTCTTGTGGGCCCAGCCAGGGTCAGGGAATACCCAGTGGGCCGCCAGGCGGAGCTGCTGTTAAACCACGCCAGGCCCTCCCTCCTGCTCCCAGGCTCTGGCTGAGCAGAAACTCCTGAGCTGAACAGACATCTTCAGGGACCACTGCCTTGGGAGGACAGTCTGAGGGCCTCCTCCAGAACCTAAACCTGCAACTCCCAAGTGTGGTGTGAATCTTGGGATTTTGGATTTTCTAATCCAATGGCTATTTTATCAAAATCGAGGATATGTGCTCTGATAAATAAAAGAATACCGTGGGGACAATCCAAAGGATCACTTGAAACTGGGCACTGCTTCAGAAACTCCCTTATAGAGGGTTCCCCTATCTTTAAGTAGACTTGGGGGAGGGGCATATGGTCATTTTACAGATGAGAAAGCAGAGGCCCAAAGAGGATGGGTGGTATGTTCATCTGTCTCCTCGCTGGCATCTCACTACCTCGAAGACCCCTGTAGGCACAGGTGTCAACTCTCCCATTGCTCAGAGAAGGCAGGGAGCAAGCCAGGTGAACTCTGGCTCCTGTAGGCTCCTATGTCCTGCCCCATGCCCTTCAGGCCAAGCCCACTTCTCCAGAAACACCCCTCCCACCCATTCTCTCTGCCCCTCATCAGGCTTCCAAAGGCCCACACTAGCCATACTGAGAGGCCCTCTGTTAAGAAGGGTGCCCCTGAGCAAGAAAAGGGGTCTCCAACAGGGGCACTAGGCCTTGGGTGAGTTCTTTTATTCAGAGGACACTGGCAAGCTCAGAGAGGATGTCTTTACCAGCCTAGGTTAAGTGGCTGGTTGAGTGGCTTCCTCTGCCAGTACCTACCCCATCCTGGAACAGAATAAGGAAACCCAGAAGGCAGAAAAGTGGTTTATTTGTAAAGGAGACTTAGAGGAGGAAGAGGAGAGAAGGGCTGAGGAGCTCTCCATAGAGATACTGGACCAGGTTCTAACTATAATACATGCTTAAAAACAGGAGAGTGAATCAATTATACTGTTAGACTGGGGTGCTGAAGGTGTTCCCATAAATTTCTCTACCCCCTCCACAGCATTTGCCAGCTCTTTTGACAGTGGGGAACCCAAAGGAAGGAGATGTTTGGGGAGAGGGGTCCTAAGATGCTAGCATCTGTGCTTTCAGTTCATCCTTAGGCTCACAGTCCCCTACACACACAAACACACTGTTAGCTCATCTTTTGAGTTTTTCTTAGTTTAAAAGAAAAGGTGTCACTTTGTCCCCAAGTCATAATAGGTCTTCTCCTTCCCAAACTCTAGTCCCTAAACAGTGCCTCCTACTTCTCCAGCCTGAGAATTCTGGTCCTGGGGTCTATGAACCCTCATGGGGTAATTGATCATGGCCACTGGGACCAAGGTTGGTAGGTGAGAACAGGGAAAAGGCCGAGGGAGTGAGAAACAAGAAGTGCAGAGGTAAGGTGCCAGCCCAAACCTCTACTCAGCAGGGCAGCGGGCGGAGCCCCTGGGCAGGAGGCCTAGAAGTTCTCATAATGATGGGAGAAATGAGTCCGGTCCTGCCTATTGATGAGCTGACAGGCCTTTTCCACATTCTTGGTCATGCCAGGGGGGCCACAGCTGAACACCCCAATCTTCCGGACCTGTTGGGGAGGAAGAAGTGAAGGCTTGCTCAGTGTGCACAGGCAGGGATAACTCAGTGCAGAGGGAGAGCTAGCTTGGCATCTGTGTTAAAGCCCAGAGAGAGTCCTTGGTGAGGGCTCATTCTGTGTTCCTGATGATGGTGTGCTTTGTGCCATGTGTGATGAGGGCTAGCCTGGCATTTTTAAGTCTAGCTTGAATTTTGCTCTCTGTGGGTCCAGCCTCTACCCTCTCCACGACATTTGCCAGCTTCAAGGCAAGATCAGTGTTTCTAATAGGAGCCAGATTAATCAGTGTCACACTGAGGGCTGGGACAGTATTTATTTGATTAGTGGCTAGCCCGATGTTCATGGTGAAGATTAGCTCAGTACCCAGGGTCAGAAATGATGAAGAACGAATGATGAGGGTAGTCTTGAGTTTGTGGTGAGCCCTAGCTCAGTCCTCAAGCTCTTCCTTCTGCAGTAAACATCGTGACCTCAGAAGTGGCAAATCCCTATTGCCTGTCTCCTCCCTTGCCCCTCAGGGTGATCCCCACTTCTCCTTTTCCCTTCCATCATCCCACCAATCTCACAAGGGATGGGTTTGCATCAGTAGTCAATGCCTTCCCTCGATGAAGTGAGTTTGGGAGCTTTGCTCAGATCACCGATGATAAAGGTGAAGAGAACTTGGATATGAGGTGGGGGCTGACCTGTGGGTGGACCTCCCGTAGGGAGTTGAAGAAGGGCTCAAAGGGGGGGCGGCCAAAGTGGGTGGTGGAGCGCAGGCCCGTGAACAGACTCCGGTTCAGCACCTTCTGGAAGTGCCGCTCACAGATGTACTGGATGGGGGTGGTGGCAGAGCAGAGGAGGAAGGTCACAGCCAGGCAGAGCCAGCCTCAGCTCAGTCCCAACGGCGGCCCACCCACCGTGCCTGGCCAGCCCTGACGTACCAGCATGGTGGTCCTGAGGTCAAACTTCTCAGCCAGCTGAGTGATGTAGATGTGCACAGTCACGAGGTCCTGGTGGTCATTCTCCTCCACCTCCCGGATGATATCAGCCAGCCACTCGAACTGCCGCTGGGTCCGTGTCACCCAGATGAAGTATATCTGGGGACATATGGCTGGAGCTAGGACCCCTCTCAGCTCAGGCTCCCTATATCCCAGGGATCCCCACAACAATAGCCACCTTGTGCCTCTTCCCAGACAGTCTGGGGAGATGGAGTGTAGGGGCCACAGGGCCAAGCTGTGGGGCAGGAGATGGAGTCACCCCAGAGAACAGAGCAGTGGAAGTGAGCAATAGCCTGGGGCAATGATAATGGACCCTTGTCAAGTGAGTGAAATGTCTGATGGGGTGGGAAGCAGGTTTTCATACTAATCCTGCCCTGCCATCCTTCAAAGAGCCCTCCTCAGGCTGGTAGGTTCCCAATCAACCCTAGCCCAGAGGAAGAGGGTCCCTCTAAGGGACGTGTCACAGAACAGCCTCAGGGAGGGCCCTGCTGGCTGCCTGGAGTAACAGGGATGGGCTCAGAGAGCCCTGCAGGATGGAAGCTGCCCTGGGAGGGACCCATCTCCAGTTTCAGATGGAGAGAAGGGGGTCCCTGTGAGTTAAGAAACAGAGGCAGAGCTGGCATGAACAGAGGAACCAGGGAGCTGTCTGTCACCCTCTGAATGCTGACAGCATACGGGCTGGGCCTCTGCCTGCTGCATTCCTGCGCCCCAACTCACCTACCAGGCCCAGAGAGACAAGCAGGGGCCTGCCACCAGGTATAGGCTGGGGTGAAAGAGACTGGTGTGGAAGGGGCCTGAGGGCCTGGACTGTGTTCCTGGAACCAACCTGGCCCACCAGCCCTGCCTTGCCACCTCCTGCCTCTTCCTCTGGAGAGCAGAGCCAGTTTCACTTGCGCTTCACCCCAAGCGAGCCCTTCCCCCTCCCAACCCAACACTGCTCCAAGTGCTGACCTCCTCTGTAAGAGGGAATGGGTTTCTCTAACCCCACCTGGAGGGACTCCCAGAAGCAAATCCCATGTGGGATGGAGGCATCAGTGAACCAACTCTGTCTTTTAGGGTCCAGGGATATCCTGAACCCCTTGGGGTCAAGCGAACTTGACCTTGCCCAGATCTGGGAGGCCAAGAACAGAGGCAGGAGAGACAGGCACAGATGGACACAGTGATAAGAAGCAGGGGCCAGGGGCTGGCAGCAGGTGGGGGTACTCACCTTCTTACAGAACACTTGGCAGCTAACTGATGACTTGAAGACCAGGTCTTTGAGGATGGAGGCAAAGGGGGTGACCCCAATGCCGCCTCCCACCAGCACTGACACCTCAAACTTATGCCACTCCTGGTGGCCTTCTCCAAATGGTCCATCAAGGTACAGCTGCAGGAAGGGGAGTGGTTTGAGTTAAGCACAGCCACTACCATAGTTCTGAAGACAGAAATGGGAGGCAGGGGAGGCAGATAGGTTCATGGTGTGAGGTTCAGGGAGTAAGAACTGCAGCATTATCTCGAACAACCAGTCTCTGGATGGGGGAAGGGAGGCACACAGTGGGACATCTGGTGCTGCAGGGCCAAGGCCTGAATCAGGGATGTGTGAGGTAGCATGGCTGGTCTGGGTCTGAGCACCTTCGGGTATCTGACACAGCCATCACCCGTCGGGGGTGAGTAGGTCTCTCTGAGGCGAGTGGTCCAGGGCCCTGCTGCCCGGATGTGCAGGCTGAGTGTGTCCTCATGGGGTGCAGAAGTCAGTGT